CCCCCCCCCCTTTGTCCCCTTTTTGCTGCACCCCCCCCCCCCCTTGTGTGGACGTCTTTTATGGATGACCCCTAACCTACTATCAACTAGAATTTTTTATTTGCCAGGCTCACATAATTAAAACTATAACGTCATAATCGGAACTTAAAGATAAAGTGAATGATTTGATCTATGGGGATAACAGCATTACCAAATAAACACTTGAAAATACTTGGCTTCTCATAACAAATATTTCTGCAAAGCAAAACATCTCAGTTGGTTGCAAGGTCAAGGATCTGCCAGATCCTGCTGTTCAAAATAGCGTGAGACAAGGCAGATTATCAAATTGAGCTCATTCAGACAGGGATCGTCAGCGGTTTCCTGAAAAAGAAATAGCAAATCTCATGCTGATCTCTCAACAGCAATAATTCCAAACCACTTTTTACAATCATGATGATCTTATAATTTAGCTGCACCATCTGTGTATCTTGTCACATAATTTAGCTGCCCCCATTTGTATACCTTTATCACATATATCAGCTGCCCTCATCTGTATACCTTTATCTCATAATTGAGCTGCCCCCACATATCCCATCCAATAACGCGCCCATCATATTACCAAAATTAACAATTAGTTTTCTGAAATCTTCTCAAATACATTGAATAGCTCATTTCTCTACTAGTTCTTTCAAGATGAGCAACAATTTTGCTAAAAATAAACATGTTGACACAACGTGTGTGACCAGTCTTTCAATTTGGATTTATGCTCAGTTCACACGATCAAATTTGTGTTCATACTTTTGATGCGATTTTTGTATGATGCCTCGTCTCAACTTTCATTCAAATTACTATTTGATAAAATTCTCATTTTTGTCCAAAAAAAAAAGAAACCATGCACAAAATAGTGCATTCATGCAAAAAATGTGATGCAAATTTGAAAGGAATTTGATTGTGTAAAACTGAGAATTACTTTCAAGGAGGTTTCAAAGTGAAAAAAAAAAAAAGTTATGAAGGTGATAATCTATTTTAACTATTTTTAAGTAATACAACTACTTATTTAAAAATATTTTTAACCTATTTAGATTACATTTATAAGATAAATAATTTAAATAAAGTACGAAATGTCAGTAAAACACTACACTTGGCTACAAAGTACAGAAATAGTAGGTATTGTTCAGAGTCTTAAGTGATGAGCGAGCGAAGCTCTAAAATGAATTAAAAAAATTATCAACATATTTCAAACCCTACCAGAGATGCCCTTATGTTTGAACACAAGCGGGCCAGATGACGAATCCAAGCGCAGATTTCTGGAGTCAGTGGTTTTTGAAGATTTGCAAGTAGGGCAAAAAACCAACGACCCTAAAATTGGAAAGAAAAAAAAACAACTTAAAATTACAACAACAAAAAAAGGTTATTTAAAAAGAATATTTTTGATGTTTCAAAAATATCTCCATGTCCATAAAATGTAACAAGAACATTTCCCAACTGCAAAGAGAACACACCTGACTTGTTTGATTTATAAACCAATAAAATATTAAAACTTCCTTCTTTATGTAATAAAAATATGTTATTGATGACTTTCACACACACCTTTGTAACCAGCTAAACTTGACTCACCTGTCTGGATGAGAATCCTGTGGCCTCTAACCAGTTGACATGGTATTCTAAAACTTTGGTTACTTGGTGCTAGAGATTATAAGGAAAAAAAAAGAAACATAATACAAAATATTTGTTCCTTTTATTTATAATCATTTAAACTTATGTTTCTTTGGAGAAACTTTAAAAGAAAAATCCTTTTACCCAGAGCTTACAAATAAAATATTTTCAATATTTCTATTACTGAAATAGCACTTAATCATTCATCAATAAAAATGTGTATTAACTTTCTGGATATCCTCTCGGATACTCTACTTTTATTTTTTATATTGTTTTGACTATTATTAATTTGCTGAAGAGGGTTTTTTGTTGACAGGATTGCTGTTTTGTTGTGTCCTTTTTTTATGTTTTCCCATACTTTGTTTTGCTTATTTCCTTTGGATTAAATTTTAACTAAACCAAAAAATTAACCGATAGGACTACATGCAATTTTGGGTGAACAGCTGATTTGGACAAGTGGGTTGATGTCTTCCAACTCCCATGGTTGAGGTTTTTAACTCAGGGATCCCCCCCACTCCCCCACAAGAATATCTGGGAATGACTGGAGATGTATAAGTGTCTGCTACCTCTTGCTCAAGAAGAAAGATAACATCATGATAGCACCACAGGTTTGAAATGAATTTTTTTCTAGCCTTTTATAGGGGTTATCATTGAAAGACTTTTTAAACAACCTTTAATTTAATTAACTACCCATGAACATTAGTGAGGGAGAAACTAATTTGCTAGCTTGTTACACTAGACCAGTGACTAAAAGGTGTTCATTCTCTGTGGATCGTCATTGTCTCTTTGATGGAAGGGGGCGGGTTAGAGAATTCTCACTTATTCCAGACCAGCGATGGTGCATCTTCCAGTGCTCACAAAACGCATTTTTAGTCAGAAGTGTTGTCACTTACTTGGCTCATAAAAGCAACAATATGTAGAAGAGGTGGTGTCCCCTCCTCCCCTAGACTGTCCTCACAGGTCTCCTCATTGTTTGTGTTTGCAGCTGATTGCTGGGTAGGTTTGAGCCTCAGCTTACCAAAACACAGTTTGCACCAGCTTTCTGCATTATTGGCATGTGGCTGGAAAAATATTATTATACTGTGTTATCTTGAAGAGGCGGGTACATGACGTTTTAAAAAATAAAAATCATGATGAAATATAGCATAATCTATCCAATATTCTTTATAAAAGGTTCAGAAAATCCTTTTCTTTCGTGTATTATGATTGGTCTCACCAGCCACACCAAGAGCTGCAAGCAATAAAGATAATCTATCGTCTCCCGCAGACGGAAAGATGCCATACATACATACATATGAATATTACAAATATTTAAACAAATCATTAATGTTAATTAACCAAAAGAGCATGAGGAGCAGTTACCAGATTAGGGATCCGGGGAGTTATTTTTTTCTGCTTTATTAGAGCCCTGTATTGAATCAGTTTCTGTTGACAACAAATTAGCATTTATGTTAATGACATAACAATATAAATGACACTAGAGATGCGAAGTGCGCATAAAATAACAGACTGAAATAATTCATATTTGTCTATTTTTGTGCTCTTATAGATTTGATGGATATTATTTTTCAGACTACAAGCAGTAGTTTGGCTTTAGTTAATCTGTTTCACTCTGTGAAAAATTAATAACAATTTTAATATAATTTGAAATAAAATAATCCTTTTCACTATCCAACAATGGAAACAAGACACCCCCAGCCCCCCCCTCCCCCCCCCAATTAATTTTTTCTAAATCTTAAAAATTAATAACAATTTTAATATAATTTGAAATAAAATAATCCCTTTCACTATCCAACAATGGAAACAAGACACCCCCAGCCCCCCCCTCCCCCCCCCAATTAATTTTTTCTAAATCTTTCATGGTTGCATGTGCCTAGAAAACAAAAATGACAATGTCATAATTTATTTAATGGCTTTACCTGTCTCAGAGAAGCAAATTCAGCAACTTGTAATCTCTGCCATGACATAGGTGCTTTAAAACTTTCCGGTACAGGTAAGAGACCACCAGGCTGACAAATGAAGTAAGCTATAATAAGATCATTTTTTTTTTCATTTACAAATGTAATTATTTCTACCTTTGAAGCTGGTACAACTAAGCTAAACATCTTTAAAGGACAGAAAATGGGCTTTTTAAAAGTGACAAGCATTAAGTAACAGATATCTATTTCAATTTCATGACCTAGATATTATTTTAGATGTTCTAATCAATTTAAAAAAATGAAAATGAAAGATAAAATTATATAAAATTAAATCAATTATTGCAAAAAATAAAAATTGTTCACCGCTTACCTCTGATACTTTGACTGTTTGTTGGGTTAAGAAGGCACTTGTATCCAAATCAGCAACAACTACTTTGGGGCATCCCATTGCCTCCTTCCTAGTTAAAAAGTTAAATAAGAGGAAAAACTCAAGACAGACCATGGAATCATATTTTTCAGTAATAGCATAATTTTAAGATATTGATTAACTTTCAATTTTATGAAAGAGAAAGTGGATAGGCCTATACTTAAAATACTATACTTTTCTAGGCCTGTTAAGAATAAAAGTTAAAAATATATATTTATGTTGTTAAAATAGGTATCTGTGTTATTAAATTATTTGTTTTTGAATGAACCATTATGGAGTAATAAGCTGGATTTCCAGTGTAAATCAAGTTATTTACTTTTTATTTTAATTTTTTTTTTTTTAAATAAAAATCGCTATCGATAATAGGTCATTTTGGGACACACGTGACAAAAATTTGGTAGGCTATTTTTGACCATTGAATTGGGTCCTAACCTCTTGAATTTTTGATATGTTGTAATTTATGCCATTATTTCCCGTCATCTTTTTATTTAAGAAAGACACCCTTTTCCAAAAAAAAAAAAACGAAGTGTCTACACGTCCGGCGCGCCGGACGTGTAGTGCGCAAGATACACGTCCGGCGACTTGTCACGTGACCGCCGGACATGGCCGGACGGCTAGTAGTTTTTATAATTCCAAACGAAGTACGATTTAGTACATCTTGTCTGGTCTTGTGGTAGAGTGGTTGCTTGACGATAGGAATGTTTGAGGATCTATACCGGGGATAGGGTCGTTTTTTTTCTTCCCATTTTAATTAAAATATTTTGTATATATTTATATTATCATGTTCCTCAGCAACAGTAGTTTCATGAGAAGTTTTTAAATATTTTGTAGCAATTGAAATAATTTAAAATGAAATCTTTAACTTTTATTGGTTGCCACACTGGCCCCTAATTTATTTTATGGATTACTGGTACACAAAAAATAACAAACTAAACAAAAATGTTTACAAGCCACTTTCACTTAAGTTTCTTTTTCTATTATTTGCATTCAAGATACTCAGTACATTACTTGGTAGAGAAATAGATTTTAAAATTAACAATAGTTTTGAATTATTCGCAGTCACGTGACAAGGCTGACCGACACGATATCTCTCGCCACTTTGTTACGGCGGTCATGTGACTTGGTCGCCGGACACATAGTGCGGGAGATAGACGTCCGGCGCGCCGGACGTGTAGACACTGCCAAAAAAATATGAATGAGTTAATGAGTACAATAAGCATTATTTTAACTTCAATTTTCAAAGTTAAGATCTCAAAAATGTTTAGAACAAAAGTGTCTACTAATCATAAAACAACATGTCTACTCAAAGTTGTGGGCGGAAATAGAATGTGCTTGCTGGGCTATAATTAACAAAAAAATCGTAAACAACGAGGCTCTTGACTCCTGGTAAATTAAAAAGTGGAGGTCGCCATTTTGATAACGAAATCACGATACCCGGTTTTCGGCAATTCCAGGATCTCATCGAAGTGCCTACATGGAGAGACCAACCAATGTGAAAGTCAAAGCCCAGGCTTTGTTTGTTTTTGATCACTCAGCCTAGTGTCACAATTACTTTGGTTAAACTTAAACAGTCTTAGTCAGAACGTATACTAACTCACTACTCAAATTATGACTAACACTTCTAATAATAATAGTAACTATTGTCACTGACATTATCAGTAGAGTAGACTGGGTAGTCATTAAGACTAGTAGGAATACTGACTAAAACTAAATTAACTACAAAGTTAGAGTTGTTAAACTGTTAGAGTTAAAAAAAAACTCACTACTTTTTGTCACAACCTGAGTAACTCACACTAGCATGAATTTCGGCCTACCTTACGCGACGCAGATATTCATTTCCTGATGCTGGTGGTATGTTAAGATCAAACTCATCGTCACAGTTCTCATCTACCAATAATGCTTTTTCATAAGGTGGATCGCTGTCACTGTCCATTCTAAATTTAAATGATTTTGGTAATGTGTTTTGGTACCACTTGTTACCGACATCCGAGATATTACCGAGATCAACTGAAGTAGATTTAATTTTTGTGACGAGTGTATCCGAATTTTTATTATTTATAATGCAAGAAAATTTTACAATATTTAAATATTTTAACAAATTTATATATATATATATAAATTATATATCTATATATATATAATATATATATATATATATAATATTATATAATATATGTAATATATGTCTTGGGTAACAAAGAAATAAAATAAAACTTTCAACTACTCAATTTTTCCAATGCATTTCCGTCTAATTAACTTTGTCAATGCAAGATTCAGATGAGAAAGTATGAACATGATAATAAGGGGGGGGGGGGAAGAGACTGCAATCAGGTTAGAAAAATGGAAACAAGAACGTGTCGACAAGAAGCCTTCATCGGCAAACAAACAACAATAAAAACAGAATTAAATAAAACTAACACTTTCTTCACTTAGCTGTAGTATCGGAGAGGATGCAAGATTCGTTGCTATGTTGCGATCTTTTTATCAGGTTTTTCCATGTTTTATTTCGCTCATTCCCTTTCAGAAAAAGCAATGGGTTATGGAGTTTAATGAAACATTGTTGAGGGTAATAATCCAACTCAATTATACACAGGACTTGTAAAAAATAAATAAAGATACTTATCTTTGTTTTTAAACTTTAAAAGAGCGAAAAAGTAAACATTTTTTAAAGCTCTCGTGTTTTTTAAATTTTTTTATAAAACTAAAAAGAAATTGTGGGGTCTCTAACAAAAATGTGGCTTATTTTACTTTGGTGAACTAATTAAAACTAACGCTCGACCAAAGGATCATTAAGTACGTATATTATTTGAAAATAAAAGATGGTATTTGCAGTAGAAATGAATCAAAAATCGATTGCAAGATTTGACTTAAACAGAAATAAAGTGAAACTGATAAATCCCGTAAATAAGCTCACAATTTTGCAGCTCGAAAGGTCTTGTCTGCATGAAAAAATCTGGCCTACAGAAACCACTGGGAAAATATAAATAACAAAAATATTAATGTGTCACAAATAGGGAGTTTGCTGCATTTAAAAAGAAGTTGGGATAATTCATTTAAGTTAAAAATAATACTTTTGCCTCACTTTTATTGTAGAAGGGGATGATTACAGCAAAAGTCAAAGGTTTATGCATAATCATCTTAAATTATTTGAAATAAATCAATACAACAACACAACAATGGCGAACTCCACACACTCAAGTTTTTAACTACAGTACTTTTACAACTATATATTTCTTGTCTCTTCATTTGTCCTATCTGCTGAAGAAGGCTCTTAGCCGAAATATTCTCTTTTTATTTTTCTGGCTTTATATATTTCAAGCTTCTGCATACCATGTTATGGTACTTTAACAACTATATATTTCTTTTTCTCTCTTCATTTGTCCTATCTGCTGAAGAAGGCTCTTAGCCGAAATATTCTCTTTTTATTTTTCTGGCTTTATATATTTCAAGCTTCTGCATACCATGTTACGATACTTTAACAACTATATATTTCTTTTTCTCTCTTCATTTGTCCTATCTGCTGAAGAAGGCTCTTAGCCAAAACATTCTCTTTTTATTTTTCTAGCTTTAAATATTTCAAGCTTCTGCATACCCTGTTACACTATTTCCCTAAAAACACAACTGCAAGAGACAGGCATCATGAAGAAATGAAGAGGAACACCAGTTGTAATTTGAATTAATTTTTATTTAGGTAGGTAATATAGTTTGTTTAATGAAATCAAATTTTCAAACCTCATTTTAAGGACTTGGTAACATAAAATGGACCTTTGAGCTTCTCCCATCTTAGCCCCAGTAATCATTCGTCATTTCATCACCAGCATTTTCACAATGTAAATTTTGGTTAATTGTCAGTTTTACAAATTCAATTAGAACAATCAACTTTATCTGGCTATTACTACTTATAGACAAGTGAGTTTGAAAGCACAAAGTCATACCAGATAAAGACAATTTTGGAAATGCACCATAATTTCATGAACGAGGACTGCCAATAAATATAAATAGAGCCTTAACATCATTGCCTTAAAAGTCTTATAAGTGTCATACAGCATGAAATATATCTAGGCTATTTTGTTTTGGATTAGTTCAGTTGTCCTTAGCACAAAAATTATCGTCTAATCATTAAGCTTTTTGACTAAAAAATTTGAAATTTGATTTTTTCTCATCATTAATTTTTGACTAAGGTATTTTTACAATATAAAAATTTCAGTTCCCCCGCTTAGTCACTCCACTAAAATATCTTCACTCTCCAGCACCTTACCATACATGCAATGTCTCAGTTATGATTATAATTATAATATTTAAATTAACATCATTCTTAATCTCCTCTCCAGTTTTCTGATTAAAATGTGCACCTTCTACTAAAATAGATTAATTAAAATTCCCAAATTTGAATACAACCAAATGATGACCAAAAGATCATAATTAAATCAAGTAATAGGTGATTCATGCAGAAAATGACTGGGATGAACTGTTGGCTTGACCCCTCTGACCAGACTAAACTACTTTTATTATATAGCACAGCCAACCTAAGCTATTAAATCCATATCTTAACCTAGACAGTTGTAATTTTACAAATAATTGGATAATAAATGGGATGGGCAACAAATGGGATGGTTCCAATTAGTTTATAAAATGGATCTTGGCCAATGAAAACATTTTGATCTCAAGTTTAACTCTTTTGGTTACAAGATAAAATGAGCATTGTTTTTAATCATTTCAATGTTCATCTTATTGCAGAAAGGGTTAATATATAATTGGTGAGAATTTTAATTAATAGGTTACATTAAACGAAACTCAAAGATTTGTGCATAAGACTGTTCCAAAAAAAATCACAAAAATTGACATCTTCAAATATTTATCTGCATACCTATATTCCACTTCTTTAGAAAAGAATAACTGGGGCTTGTTGGGCAAGTAACATAAAATACAAACTTTTATTCACATTTACTCAGGACAATCACATGCAGCTTTCCTTTAAAAAATTAAACAATTTCATTCAATTATTTGGTTAATTTTGTAAGCAGTTCTGATATTTCTTTACCACTTTAAAATGCAGATGCCAAAAAAAAACAAAAAAAAACAACAAAAAAACACACACACACAACCCCCCTCCCCCCAACAATTAATGGAATAAGGGCTTGAATTGAAACTGGTAAGTTCAACTGTTTTAAAGCTATGAGATGGCATGTAATAATGTAAAATGGACTGTTAAAAAAATTTGCAATTAGTTTTTTAAAAAAAGAGTATCATTTTAAAATATTGTTTATATTTGAGAAGATTATTTGAATTATAGTTAAAATAAATTCAAATCTAAATTTCTCTCAAAAAAATTACTTTTACCCACAGCGTATGGCCTAATAAATTGAAAAAAACCCCAACAAAACAATTTATTCATACTTAGACATATTTCGACTTCTGAAATAGCATCCCCATCTCATCTTGCTCATAAATGGAATATTTACTTATAGGCATGGCAATTATAAACTATGGAACACATAGACAGCATATTGTATGTCACAAACTCCATTACATTTGCAAATGGATTAACAACAATAAGTTGAATTTTCAAAATAAATGATAAAATATTTCATCTTAACAAAATGTCAAAATGAAAAATAAAAAAAAAATTGGTCTGTAAACAGAATTGCATCCACAGGTTTGACAAACAGAGGAAGGATGAAAATGTTTCTAGTTTTAGCGTTGTAACAATCTAAATATTTTGTGATTTAACTGAAAAGAATTTAATTCTAAAATAAAACTGGATACAGACAAAATTTAGTCATTATTTTTACATATTCCCTTTGTTGATCCTCCAGGTTAACCATATTACAAAACTAAAACTTAAGGAAGATGTTTTTATTTTTTAAAAATTAATGTAACCATTCACAAAAATTGCAGTTAACATAAAAATACATAATTGATGTCCATGGATATGAAATTAAATAATTTTTACTAAAAACAGGAAGAAACAAATCTCAAATTTACTTAAACTTAAAGCCAATATCCATCCTTTCATGTGAAGTCACCAACAGGGAGAATGAAATCATAATTAGTCATCTTTAGCACCGCATAAGAGAAGAAAAAAAATCATGGTACAAAATGTCATAGCTGAATATCATAATGGGCTTAAAAGAGGAGTTCAGATCATCACCGAAGGTAAGGAATAATTTAGGACAAAGTTTACTTGGAGCAACAAATACACTTTAAAAAAAAAAAAAAGCACACACATTTCAAGTAAAATAAACCATTAACATTAAGACATTGGTCTGGGTAATGGAAGCATTAAAATAATGGAACAATGAAACACATGCTTTCTTAAAAACAAAGACCCCCTTGACATTTAAAAATAATGTACTGGCAATTATGAATACTCAACCCCTAGCTGTTTTTTAAAATAAACTTTTCTTTATCAGGTCAGCAGAGCTCCTCTGAATTGTTGTTTGTAATTATTTTAACTTATATACAATGTTATTGCAAAATGCCCGATATTTCGATTGATACAGATTGAATGTCTAAGGACACTATAGGAAACACAAATTTAAAAAAAGAAAAAATTTGTTCTGTGAAGGTTGTTGACTAAAGTTTACAAAGTGAAATATTTTTAAAAAGCATGTTTTATAGATTCTAAGCATAATTCTCATATTCATATACAATTAAAACCATTCAGCAGTGCCTACATCAACTTCCAAAAAAAAAAAAAAAATCCAATCAAAATGAAACAATTTTTTTGTTTTAGCTGTACGCATCCTCATTTACGATGGATACAAATAATCAATTGATAAAGTCAAAAATGAGCTTTCCAGAAAGAAAGAATAAACGTGTAAATTCTTTAAGGAGAAATAATACTAATACTGTGCAATAGAGACCAAAGTGATCATGGCATACAACTGAATTCAAACCCTTCAACTCAAAAACCCAATTTTTTGGAACTTGTGAGACAAAGCTAAAAAATAAACTAGTTTACAAAAATTAAGTGATTTAGATTAAACGTTTTTTCCTATCATATATACTTCATCCAAAGACAGGGCAGCAGTGAGTTAATAAAATGTATTTAATTTAAACAGGCAAATATTGATAACATCACCTATGATATATTTTGAAGCAGCTACATACAAATCCCAATTGGAATTCTCCCATTTACTTTCACCAGAAAGCCAAATGCACTTAATATATATGCATGGGAAGAGCAAAATTTTAATATTTCATTTCCTTTAAATAAATAACAAGCAAACAAAAATATACATGTATTTTGAAATGGAATAAAACTTTTCATTGTACCGTACTGTTAGTACATATATATATTTATTTGTAAAAATTAAGCTTAAATTTTGTACCACTTATTAACAAAGGCAAATATTCCTTAAGAATGGATCAAAAAAGTTTACATTTTCTCTCTGAGCACATGATGTCGATTCAAGAATACATGAAAGCGCAGGGGATACTAATTATCAATACTTAAACTAAAAGGTAATGTGATGTTGGAAAACAATACAAAATGATTCAAATGTAACTTGCCC